TTTTTAAAACGTACACCGTTCAAACTAGGCTGCTTATGTTGAAGTGTTTGGGATGTGGCTTTTAATGATGAGACCTTTTTTGTAATCAGGCTCTCAAAAAGTATATAACAATTTGGATATAGACTTATCGGCCAACATATCGGTTATCGGCTTTCAAAAATAAAGAATAATCGGTTATCGGTATCGGCCAAAATTTTCATATCGGTGCATCCCTAATATACAGTTATGTGGAGCAAGATTATGGACCAATGAGAGTTCACGATTTCTACTTGCCCTGTCAACATTTTTACTGGAACCAAAGCAAAGCAAAACAAAAAACAAAACACAGAATAAAACAAAACAAAAAACACAACAAATATAATTTTAAATGTATACTTTTAAATAGTTTTTAGATTTATTATTTCATATTTTTATTAAAATTAAAAATTTAATAAACTTTTTTTTGCACAAATTGTTTCATGCATTATTAAACTAAGTAGAAAATTCAGAATTAAAAAATGTAAATTATATTAAAAAAAACTTGAAAACCACATAACAAAACATCAACTATAGCACTGCACAGAGAAGCACAGCCCACACTGTTAAGCATCAAACATAGATGAGCATACTCTGATTGTGAAAGTTGAGAGGACGGTATTTTATGACAAATTCCACGAAATTCAGAATTTAAAATGATACAAAGAAAAAGTGTACAGAAAAATATTCGGAATTATGTTTTTCCGATAAAATCAGTCCAAAACAACATTATACTTAGTGACTCATTGTAGGAACAAACTATGAAATCTAAAAAGAAAAATCTGTGTCAGCTGCGTCACGCGGCTATGTTTTCTACATTGTTTGCGCTTTAATCTGAATGTAGAAAACGTATCCGCGTGACGGATATATTACACGAGGGAGTAATTAATGACTGAATTTTCATTTTTGGGTGAACTGACCCTTTAAAGTTAAAACAAATATTGTTAAAAAAATATTAAGTTAAAAAAAGTTATAAAGAAAGTATTGTCTGTGTAAGTGTGTGTTTCTTGTTAAAAATGACACTTACTACAGTAATACAGTCATTTTAAATTTCAATTCATTTTAATCTACTTCAATTAAAA